AGTAAAAGTAATAAAGGCATAAACACAGAGAAGCAACAGAAAATGAGACTAGAGAAATGATATCTTAGAAATGTTAGAAATCAAATGGATAAACTACAACTTAGAGCACCAATCTTGGTAGAACATAATATTTTATCATAATATTAACTACAATTTAATTATTCCTTAATATGGAGTCATGTAATTTTTAGTATGAATATGTTTTATCATAATTTATTCAACTATTTCTCCATTAATGATGATTTAGGTTCTTTAGTTTTTCAAGTGTTATAAATAGCATTCTGTGTATTAGTCTTACAAAACTATATTGGATTTTTAATCAGTTCCTCAAAAACTAATCAGATCAAAGTGTATGCCTTTTATGGATATTGACCCATGCTGCAGGATTGCTTCCCAAAGGCTGTCATCACTGTCAGCATCGAGGTGAGGAGTTTCCCATTTCACTGCATCCTAACCACCATTGCATTTACCTTAAGATGTTCACTCTGGGGGAAAAACAGGTGGTGCTTGCTTTAAATTTCTTGACAGCATGATATGAGTAACAGGTTTTACCAGGAGTAAATGAGCTGGCTTCCTTTACTACTGCTGACTTAAGATGAAGACAGATGCCGGAGATTTAGCTCAGTGGTTCCTGCACCTGCCGTATAAGCACAAGGGCCTGAGTTTGATCCTTGGTACCAAGAAAAAAAATAATAATACAAAATGAAAAAAAAAAGATAAAGACAGGTGCTTTATCTTCACTTGATATGCTCAAGGAAGGATTTATGAAGCAAGTAGAATTTAGCTGGGTCTAAAGTTGGAAAGATTTGTAGAAAAAATTTTGCATAGACACGAGGGTATGTCATTCTGGATCAAATCAGAAGATGAAAACCATACAATAATTTAAGTGATTCATATAAAGTGTAATTAAGGTATAATAGGAAAAAAGCTATAAAGTTACTATATAAGGAAAGCTCTAAAATGTACCCTAGGGCTGAGGGAAAGTACCTAGTGAAGGATAAAATTGAAATGAGAGCTCAACTTCTTTGAAGGCGCGATTGCAGCCCAGTACATGGCAGAAATAGGTGCTGAGGTACTTAAGATAAAACTGATGCACAATCACTGTGGCCAGACTGGTAAGAGTGTGCAGAGGGACTCAGGTTGCTGCTTCAGGTCCTAGCCTGGTGTGTCTGTTAGGCTGCCTTGGGATGCAGGTGAGCTGAAGCTGGTAGTTGAGTACAAAGGGAGCTGGAGTGCCACACTCAGTACTGCTGGAACAGCAAGTTAGAGAGGAGCCTCCCCATGCAGGCAACCTAGAACCTTAGGAAGGGCAGTTCAGGCTGCTGAGTGGGACAGAGGTCAGGTGCCCAGCTAGCAAGGCTTCTGGCGTGTGGATGAGAGCTGAGGGGAGAGAATGGGGAGAAACCACCTGGTTTGGGACTTTGGGCTATCGTGCTCTGCAGCCTGAGTAGAGAGCTGAAGAAAGAAAGCACGCAGATAGATGGCTGTGCCTTGGAGGGACCTAGGACCAGAGCAGTGCCCTTGGCATTATTGGCATTTCGGGGCAGATACTTATTTGTTGTTGGGGGGATGTTCTGTGTACGGTAGGATGTTTAGCAACATCCTTTATCGCTAATCATTCTGTGCCAGTACTTCTTCCAGTTGTAATAATGAGAGATACCTGCAGGTATTACTAGTATAGTCTGGCAGCAAAATCACCTCTACTTTACAAACTGCTAGGGTAGAGAAATTTCACAGCCTAAACATCAGAGGGGAAAAAAGTACAGGCTCTGCAGAAACCTTCAGAGAAAGCTCTTTCCTGCTGTAGCGTCTTCCTAGCCTACTCTAGTAATACCGTGTCTGCTGACAAAAAAAAGAAATAAAAGTTTTAAAGCCCCATATTCAGGTTCTAAAACAATCAAGGCAGTGAGAGAAAAATTTGATGCAGAGAGGTAATCGATTGATAACTGACAAAATGAGAAAGCACTGTGGGAGTGCCTGAGGAAATATAAGCCAAGTTACAAGTAAGAGCATGAGGGCACTAAGGAGATGTAAGAAAGAGGGCCAGGTTGGTGTAAAGTGATTTAGGAGGATATGTAAGAGTTTTGATTCAGGTTGGAGGGCTTTGAACGTATAGATGATAGTTGAACAGAAACTTAGACTGTTGAAGGCTTTAGACCTAATGCTACTGATAGACATAAGGACAGACTCAGACAAAGGATGTATGTAAGTAATTTGGGTATAGATTTTTGCATATCTATTATTCATTCAATTGTTCATGTTGTTATCTCCTGTTTAGTTTTTCTTTCCACCTACCCATTCCAAAATTTATTAATGTAGTATTTTAATATATAAAAAATGCTTATAGAATTTGGGGCTAGAGAGGATTAATAGAAATGAGAAATCATAAAGGAGTTTCTTTCTCTGTCTCTGTCTCTGTCTCTCCTGGGGACAATGAAAGGACAAGCCAAAACTTTACACTTTTCCACCAGCTTTCACCAGGTAAAGGTAAGGAGGAGACCTGGTCTCAGTGGTGAAGCACAGAGCTTTGAGAGAATTCTACCAAAGGGAAATGAAGGTTTTTCATGGTTATTACGGTGTATGTATAGATGTCCCCGAAGAGTCTCATGCACTCACAAGTGAGGGAAGGTGATTTAGATTATGGGGATATTATAGCTGATTTTCTATTAGGTGGTGGGTCTGATTGGATGAGGCAGGTCACTAGGGTGTGATCTAGGAGGGTATATCTCCCTGGCTCTTCCCTTCATTCACCCTGCTTCCTGGCCACCATGAGATGAGCAGCTTTCCTTTGCTCTTCCACCATGCTGCCAACCACACAAGTTCTGAAACTCACAAAACATAAGCTAAAATAAACCTATCCCCCTTAAAGTTGCTTTTGTGGGTATTTTGTCCCAGCATCAAGAAAATGACTAAGGTAGATTTGGGTGTCAGAGAAACAGGGTCATTGCTGTGACTGTTACCTAACCATGTGGTTCAAAGCATTTGGAACCAGTTCACAGGGAGTTAGGAAAGGTTTTGTGACACCAGCTAGGGAAGCTGTAGAATGCTATAAGCTGAGCTTGATGGAAGATTCTAGTTAGAGCTCAGAAGACCAGAATGTCAATAGAAATGCAGATGGTAAAAGCCAGGTTCAGGAGGGGTCAATTGCAAACAAGGACTCCAGTGGCAGTTGGACTCCAGGCCATGTCTTATGCTCTGGCAGAAAATTTGTCTGCATTTTGCTTGTGTCCTGAGACTTTATGGGAGCCTAAGGGTGGTGGGTGGTGGGCTAATTAATCTGTCAGGCAATCAAAAAATCAAATCAAAGCAGCCCATTATTCAGGCTGTGGCATGGGTATTGTTGGGCCAGGTTTATGCTGAAAATCAAGAGTAGATGACAAAGCTGAATGATTTAAAAGTTTTAAGTTTGGCCAGAAAGGAAGCCCTGGTAAAGTTGGGGCCTGCAAAATTGGAGCCAGAGGAGAGTTTAGTTGCTGAAAAAGGTAGCATTAAAAATAGGCCAAGTACTTTGGATCGGGACCATAGGAAATATTGCTTCAGGACATAAGAACCAGCAAGGTTCTACCCTTTGCAGGCTCAAAATTGTAAAAATAAGACTTTGCTTTAAGAAAACCCCTAGGGCACCCTGCTGGAGTAGGGTTGCCTAGGGAATTGTTTTTCAGGATTCAGTTCATAGTGCTCAGCCATCCAGGCACTCAGAAACCTCTGCAGCCACCATTCAAAGGGGCCTGGCTACTGCTTGAGCTGGTGGCAGATTTTGGCATTATTCACATAGTGCTGGTTTTATAGGCATACAGAATGCAGGAGTTGTGGGGTCAGAGAGACTTCCACTCAGATTTCAGAAGGCCTGGGTGGCCAGGCAGTGTGCCTCTGAGAAGGCTATGCATGAAGCTGTGAGAATGAAGCCAAAAGTGCAGTGGAGACCCAGGAAGTTGGAGAAGCCAGGAACATGGGAAGTTCAGGTAGTGAGAGGAGCTGCTTCAAAAGAGAAGCCCTATGGAGTGCAACCCACAATGTTGTAAGGGCAGAGCTGCCTGAGCCATTTGGAGCTCACGTCTCAGCACAACTTGGCCCAGGCACTGGACATGGAGTTACAGGATATGATGTTTGCCCTGGTGGATTTCAGTCTTGCTTTGGTCCCATTTCCTTACATCCCCCTATTTCTCCATTTTGGAATGGAAATGTTTACCCTTTGCTATTGTATGTTGGGAATGTTTAACTTTCTTTTTGATTGTTATAGAGGCTAAAGCTGAGAGTTTGCTTTGAGTCTCAGAGGAGACTTCAGACTTGGACTTTTCAGCAGTGCTGAAGCTTTTAAGACTTTGGCTACTTTTAGACATGGACTAAACGTGTTTTGTGTAAAGAGATGCATATGGGCCTTTGTGGGGGCCACGTCCCCCAAAAGCCTTGTGTGGGAAGGTGATTGGATTATGGGGGCATCATAGCTGGCTGTATATCAGGAGGGGGGTCTGTTTGGATCAGGCACATCACCAGATGTATGACCTGGAAGGGTTCATCTCCCTCCTCGTTCCTCCCTTGGCTCTCTGCTTCCTGGCCACCATGAGGTGAGCAGCTTTCCTCTGCCCAGGCCCTTCCAACATGCACTGATTGTGCAAGGACTAAAAAGCCAAAATAGACCTGTCCTCCTTTAAGCTGCAGGTACTTTATCCCAGCAATGAGGTAAATGGCTAAGACAATGATCATTGTCAATTTAGCCTGGAGAAGGGAGCTATGGGAAAAAGGCTAATACGATTTTGATTCAAACTCCTCTATGTTCTTTTATTTTCCAGAGCTGTGGCTCTGTTTCTAAGTAATACCCTTGTGATTTGTTTTGTCTTTCAATCCTATAATCCAGAACAGTTGAATAGTCTTATATCTTCTATATGTCCTGTGACATTTCCTTTTAGGAATTTTGAAATTTACCTTTTTTATTCTTCAATATTGTTTTTGATTCAAGGTTTTACATTTAATGACTCTTCATGTTGCTTTTCTCCCTTTAGAAATGGACTCAAAAATTGAGGAAGAAATTATTGTTCATGAGGAATTCTTGCAGTGTGGTGGAGTTGAAACACAGGTTGTAAAGTGTGGCCCCTGGACTGACCTTGTTAATGATCAAAATGTCAACAGGCCTAAGATGCTTATTTTCATCATTACTGGTAAGTATAAAAGTCTAGATGAGGAGACTATACAGACACTCTTTAACTGTTTCTGATTTTAAGATTATTCAACCCAAGGCTAGGGATTTAGCTCAGTGGTTCTACCACCTGCCCTGCAAGCTCAAGGCCCCGAGTTCAATCCCCAGTACCAAAAAATAAATAAATAAATAAATAAGATTGCTCAACCCATTGATAACAAGCACCTTTAAAACTTTTGTGCTTTTTGGTTTCCTTCTGTGATATATTATGTGATATATTATGTGATTATATTGTATGGGGTATCACAATTGGAATATAACCTATATAGTTTTATAATTTGCTTTCTAAATTTTTCTTTATATTTAAAACTGTATCGATATTTTTAACAATTTTTTAAAATGGTTTTCCGCCCCATTTTAAGATGATTATGTGATTATTATAGAATGTTAATTCTGGAAATTGCAGCTGAGTCACTTGTGGCTTTCATTAGATCATTGTCAGTAAAATGACAGAGGTAAATGTTTGACTGCATGTATTTGAAGTCCCTCTTACATTGTGAATTTGAATGTACATGTTTATAATCTTTTTAAGGCTCTTATTCGATGAACTCCCAGTTGAAACCTCTGCTGATTTTTCAGTTGTGTTATCAGTGGTTTTCTTTATTGGTTTGCAGTCATTGCGTTCTGTGTATCACACATGACAGGAATCTTTTCCAGTGTCTTTTGATTTTATTTACAGCATTCAGTTGCATAGAATGTTTCATTGTTTTGAAGCAGATGACACTTACTAGTCTCTTCCTTCAGAACTTCTGGGTTTTATGACATTCTTAGAAAAACCTTCCCTACTCTAAGATGATAAAATAATTCTGCCATGTCTTGTGTTTTTTCAGTTTTATTAGCAATCTTTATGTCTGATGAATCTAGAGTTCAAGGGTAGAAATTAAAACATCTAGCTTTTTCCCCCTTTCTTTAGATGGCTGACTAATTGGTCCATATCATTTACTAGCTAATTGGTCTTTCCTTACTGGTTTGCATGCCAGCTTTATCACAGCATAGATTGTCCTATGACTTGGAGTCTGTTTCTGTCTTCTCTGCCTCATCATATGCTTTTCACAGCTGTGGCTTTATGGTACCTTTATGTCTTTTAGAAGTCCTTGGTCTCTTTTATTCTTCCCCAAAGTACGTTTTGGCTTCTCTTCTTTCTTCATCAAAGTCTTATTTTTGTTTTGTATTGGTTTGTTTTTTGTTTTGGAGAGGATCTTCTTGGCTTCATTAGAAGAAAAAAATATATATGGTCTTTAAAATCAGCTTCTCTGGTTGCAGCAAATATCCTCAGAGGCAAAGACTTCCAGCACAGTGTATTCCTCTGGTATTTAGTCCATATTTCTAAATGAAATATTGGTATTGCTGGTCTTCATATTTCTAGATACTATGTGTTGACTTCCATGAAAGATGAGAGTTAGCTTTTGTACCCTTTGCCTTTCCCCATTTCCCTGCACACAGTCATGTACTTCTCCTTTCCAGACTTTCTTGGGGTTATTTTCCAGTTTTAGGTTAAATTGGTGTTCAGTATGTTCATTATTATGAATTTGTATTATAGCTAAGCCTTTAGAATATTATAATTGCATTTCTTTCTTTATAGGTGTTTGTTTACTTTCCCTGGGTTAGTGATGTTCTCTCCCTTTCCCTCTCACTGTCACTCTCTCCTTAGTTTTCTATACTTTAATCACCTATTTATCCTAAAACTATTCTCTAGAGCTGAAAAGAAATCCTCTCAGTGTATTGAGTAATCAGTCAGTTTCTTTATTCTTGGGAACTTGAAACGTTCCTTGTTTTATAGTCTTGTGCTTGTAGTGCTTCTACATTTTCAGATCCCATTTTGTTTCCCGTGTTCTTTTATGCTTGCTCTTCTATTTTCCTTGCTACCCTTGTCCTTTCCTTGGATTTCTGAGAGCTGTAGGCTGGTGCTCTTCATTGATGTGTGGGATTCAGAATTGTATTTTGTTGGGAGATCTAGTCTGTTTAAACTGTGAGGAAAATTAGGATGACAGTATGTGTGTGTAACTTTTTAAAATCTTTTTACATTTACCAGTTTATTGTGAAGGTTTATTGTTGCAGATTATAGAAACAAAGAGATGCATAGGGTGTGGGAGAATGACCTGGAGCTTTTGTGTACTCTCCTGTGTGCCACCCTCCAGGAACCTCCACCTGTTTGTCTTAGTTACTTTCTTGTTGCTGAGACACAAATGCCCAATACTCACAACTCTAAGAAGGAAAGGTTTATTTTGGCTCACAGTTTGTAGAAGTTCCCATCCATAGTCAGCTGGCTCCAGAGCAGGGCAGCAAGGCAAAACAAAGGAGGCTTGCTGAAGCAGAGAGAGGTCAGGGAGGAGGGAGGAAGGTAGACCCTTCCAGGCCACGTGCCCACCTGGTCCAGTGACTGGACCAGGCTTCTCTCCCAACATCACATGTCGGTATCACCTCATCGGTGGACTAACGCACTCAGAAGTATAACACCCTGTGATCTCCTCCCGAAAGCTCCACCTATGAGTACACGAGGCTTTAGAGGGACACCTGGATATAAGCTATAAGTATAGAACCTATGTAGACACAAGCTTCATCTCTCTGGAAGCTCTGAACACTGCACTTTGGTCTTTCTATGGAGCCTTCGTTGCAAATGCATGATTGCTGAATGACTGCATGGGAAAACCCAGCAAGGCCTGTTCAGATTCTTCTTGGCCTTTCTGTGTAGCGTTCCTTACTCCAGAGTGTGGGACAAGAATCCCCTGGAGTGAGCAGGGGTGTATGACCTACTGTCAGGGAAGGTAGGTTAGAGAGTATCTTTATGGACAGCTTTATGGACAGCTCCAAGACAGGCGAGGGAAGATAGAATTTCTATGACCCACCTTGAGGAGGAAGAGAAATTCTAGTTTCATAGATCCCTTACATCAAAGGAATATACCACCCAAAAGATACTGTCACATTTTTAGACTCCTATTTAGCCAATAATTAGTCCATCCATCATACTGAATGAATATGCAGATGGCAGTATTTCAAGGATTGTCAGAACATTGTGGACATCATGTTATATCCAACCCTGGTAGACTGACATAACATTTCATTTTAAATCATTTTGCTTTTGCAGCCAGCAAAATTCTTCACAATTAGTGATGATATTTAGGAGTGATTTATCTGAATCGGCAGACTGAATAACTTTTAATTTAGTTTCATCTTTTCTGATGAACTTAGGTCTAGAATTTCTGTTAAGTAACATTGTCCTTGGACTTTAAGTAGTGAAATGAGCAAAAGGAGGCAATTTGAGAACTTGTTATAGAACACCCTGAATCATTCTAATGAGGATGGTAGAATCATGTCTTGTGCTGTTGGGTACAGTGATTGGAGATCTGGCAGACAAATCTTTGTGGGTGACAACTTCCTGTGTAGCTGCTTTGTTATATTAATCGAATACATGGCACTTTTGTCCCCTATAAAATGAACTGAAAAGCGTAAGTCTACATTCAGTGTTAAATAGAGTTTATTAACTGTCCATGTCTAGAGAGGATCAAGATAACCTCTTTTACTTTGTGTGGGCATTTTACTAGTGTATGTTTATAGCACATTTATAAACCTTTGATAAAAGGTTTACATTTCTCAATTGGAATGTTTCCCAGCATCCCAAGACCTAAGCTAGATGGAGATACCTTTAGTTGTGTAACAAACACCCATAAATTTTCTTTGTAGTTAATCAGGAAGTTTAGTTTATGGTTTATAAGGTATAACATAAGCCATAACATTCAAATGGTTGGGAGGATGATAATATGAAGTCAGAGAGGCTGATGAAGTTTTGTTTTGTTTTGTTTTGTTTTGTATGTGGAACCCGAAGGAAGAGCGAGAAAGAGCCCACCATAATTTGGCATACCCACACGTGGGCCTGTAGTTTTCATTGCATTCCCCAAGCCGCCAAAGGAATAGGTGCTGTATGTTCCTCACTTGTAAAAGGGGACAATGGGACTGGACTGAAGGTTCTAGCCCTTGTGATCTCACATTCACTTAGACTCATTTCCAACTGTAGTGTTGCTTATTCCCTGTTCTGTGTATACATATATATTATAATTGACGAAATTTGTCTTATGATATACAATATGATGTTTTGATATATGTATACATTATGGCACAATGGAATCAAGCTAACTACTATATTCATTACCTCACATGCCTAGATTTTAATGTTGTTCTTACCAAATACTTGAGGAAAACAACTTAAAGGAGGAAAGGTTTATTTTGGCTCACAGTTTCAGAGGTTTCAGTCCATTGAAAGGTAGAAACATCATGGCAGCAGAGTTTGCAGAGCAAGACTGCTCACCTCCTAGCAGCCAGAAAGCAGAGAGATCGGGAAAGAGACAGAGAGGGAGGACCAGGGAAAATATACTAGGCCTACAGTCATATCCCCTCAGCTCATTGCAGTCAGTGAGGGCCTGCTGCCTATTTCCTTCTCCCAAAAAAGCCATGGAATTATGATCCATCAGTGGATTAGTCCACTGCTGAAGTTAGACCCCTCATGTTCCATCCTTTCAGGAGCCCATTAGCTCACAACCAAGACTTCAACACAGTGAGCCTCTGGGGAAACATTTTAGATAAAAACCATAACAGAAATACAGCATATTACTCTTAACTGCTGATACCAGAATGTCCAACAGATTTCTTGAATTTATTCATCCTTAATGAAATTTTGTAATTTTGACCCAACAACTTCTCTCTCTCTCTCTCTCTCCCTCCCACCCTCCCTCTCCCTCCCCCCTCCCTCCCTCTCCCTCTCCCTCTCTCTCTCTCCTCTCCCTGCTCTGATAACCACCATTCTATTCTCTGCTTTTGTTTACCTTTTTATTATCCCACATATAAGTGAGATCATGCAGTATTTGTCTTCATGTGCCTGGCTTTTGTCCTCCAGGTTCACCCGAGTTGTCAAAAATGATCCGATGTCTTCTGTTTTGGAAGACTGAATAGTATTCCATTGTGTATATATGTCTTTATCCATTCAAGACTTGATAGACCCCTATGTTGTTTCTATGTCTTGACTATTGTGAATAGCCCTGCAGTGAGTACAGATGTCTCTGTAATACTGATTTTGTTTCCTTCACATATACATCCAGAAATTGGAGGCTAGACTGTCTAGTTTTTTAAGGGACCACCATACTGTTACTCATAATGTTCATGCTAAGTAGCATCCCCACCAGCAGTGTGCACGTTCTCTTTTTCCACATCCTCACCAACACTCATTTTTCATCTTTTTGATAATACCCTTCTTACAAGAGCTTGAGTTGCAGCTGCCTACTAAAAGCAGGGGCGGACCGGGGATTTAGCTCAGTGGTTCTGGTGCCTGCCTTGCAAGCGCAAGGTCCCGAGTTCTATCCCCGGTACCAAAAAAAAAAAAAGTAACAATAAGCATAGATATATACCATCTTAAAAGCAGGGGCCTAGGGCCGGGGATTTAGCTCAGTGGTTTCGCCGACTGCTGCGCAAGCGCAAGGACCCAAGTTTGATCCCCGGCACAAATAAATAAATAGATAGATAGATAGATAGATAGATAGATAGATAGATATAAATAAATAGATAGATAAATAAAAGCAGGGGCCTGGAATTAAACATTGTACCATACCCAGCACTCCTTCTGTCCCTGACCCATTAGTACCTGTCTAGCCTCTCTAGGTATTTTAGAGAAAATATTTTTAACTTTTTAGTCAACTGAATAATTAGTTGAATGAAAAATAAGCCATAACAAGTTAGAGATTAACCATTGACCAGTTTCCCCAGAGTATCACTTAGGCAGCACATTTGTTTACACGCTGACTATCCTGAGAGTTGCTCACGCAGGTGTCATTTCAACCAGTCAGTTCTTGTATTGAATAAATTTGATAAAGCTGTCATTTTAATATTTCCTGCTATATTATCTCATAAAAATTAATGAAAAAATATACAAATCTTTGTCATCCTGTATTTAAATAATTGGACTGGTAAGTGGTTAGAAAATGCTACAAGCATCACAAAATCCAGGAAGAAAGCAAATTTTCAATTAATTCTCTTACATACCTCTATGAATCTTTGTTCTTTTTTTGTTTTCTTTATTTTCACTTTTCTTTTTTGGTGCTGGGAATCAAACCCAGGGCCTCGCGCTTGCCAGGCAGGCGCTGTACCACTGAGCTATATCCCTGGCCCGATGAATCTTTGTTCTTGTATTTATTGGCTGCATACTCTGCATTTCATTACGAGAGTGCATTTTCATGTGACAGTGGTACTAATCAGCTTTCTGTCACTGTGACCAAATACCTGAGCTAATCAACCTAAAAGGAGGAAATGTTTATTTTGGTTAATAGTTCCAGAAGTTTCGTTCCTGGTAGGTTGGCTGTGTTGCTTTTAGGTCAGTCTTCACACTTTCTAAAGCTGTTCTGGAAGTCCTCTATGGAATGTCTTTAGTTATACCACGTGGCTGCCTTGATGTCTCAAATCAATCAAAACATTTAGTTTCCATGGTCATTTTGACTTTGGGGAAGAGCCGGAAGTTGCATGGTGCCTTATCAGTGAATAATGTTTTATTACCTTATCTTTCAACTGAATGGTACTGTATGTTTTAATCACGCCTCATAAAGACATGAAAGAAATGCTTCAGCAGAAACCATGGGCTACGTGTTTAAAGCTAGGAGGAGTATTCTGAGAGGGATTCATGGCAACATGTCTTTTACTGTAGTAAGTTTTTAAAATACTAAGCATATATTTTGATCACACCTTGCACATGGGTTTATTCTTCGGTTAATCTAAGATCTTTCTTCCTTTTCTTAGGTAACCCAGGTTTTTCTGTCTTTTATGTGCCATTTGCAAAGGCTTTGTACTCTTTGATGCACAGACGCTTTCCAGTTTGGGTTATCGCTCATGCTGGTCATGTCTTGGCTCCCAAAGACAAGAAGATTCTCACAACATCAGAGGGTATGTCCTTGTTAACATCTACTTTCCTTCACAGTAAATGGGTATTCTTGTTTCTAGAATGTCTACTAAGGTTAAGAGTTTTGCCGATGAAAACCTCTGATGGTGGCATTGGGCCCAGGATGCCACATTTTGGTAATCTGAGGAGTTTTAGAGATATTTGGTAATTTTAGGATTTGTAGAGGTATTTTAACTCTCTGGGTAACTTTGAGCAGATCAGTCTGTGTATTACTTGCCTTCTTTATTTACCAATTAGTAATCAACAATATATTTATTGATCACATATTTCCAAGGTGGTACTAGGAGGAAAAGTAGAGAGAAAAGTATAAGGCACGGTCTTTAAAGAAGTATACTGCCAGAGGCCGAGGATTTAGCTCAGTGGCACTGTGCCTCCCTCACAAGCACAAGGTTATGAGTTGGATCCCCGGTACAAAAAAAAGAAAGAAGCATACTGCCTTGTGTTTAGAGAATGATTACATGGCAAACTCTGGCCCATTGATCATGTAGCTACCTAGAGAGTAAACAGCGTAAACCCACAGTGTGGGCTGGAAGAGACTTTGTGCAGTAGTGCTGTGTCTTTGTCAGTTGGGCTGCTGAAGCGGGGTACCAGGGACTGGGGAGCTTATAAACAGCACAGATTCATTTTCCAGTTTCTGGGGGTGGAGAACAAGATCAAAGCACGGGGCAGTTCAGTTTCAGATGAGGACCTATTCCTGATTCATGACCCACAGATCACCTTTGCCTGTGTCCTCTCACAGTGGAGAGAGGAGGCAGACTCTCTTGGGACTCTTAAGGGCATTAGTCCTATTTATGAGGGCTCCACCCGCATGATCTTATCTCATTGTAATACTCCAGCTTCTTATTCCATCATGTTTGTGTGTAAGATTTTCAACATACGAATTTAGGGATATGGGATGCAAGCATTAGTAATGGTGGGTTTTGACAGTTGAATAGGATTTGGATTTGGAGGGGGTGGGTACAGAGGTTAACAGGCAGAAGGAAGTGAGAGTTAGTAGGTACATTGCTTCTGTGCAGGGCTGATTTGGGTGGCCTCTTGAAATCTGGGCAGAGAGCTAGGACTACATGGTAAACTACTGGAAAACTTTGAAGTGAAAGACGTATTACTATAGAGGTGCAAACTACTTGCTTTCAACTTAAAAGAATTCCAACATATTTACCCCTAAAATAAAAGTGAGAGGAAAAAGAGAAATATAACTTAAGTTCTCTGAGGACATCACATTCAAGGGCCTTGTGCCCTACTGGGTTCCTCGTGGTTACCCGAGGTGAGAGCAGTGCCTGTGGCCTCATTGCTTGCTTGGCTCCGCTTCTCCTAAGTCTCTTGTGTGGTATGGGTTTTGTTTTGTCTTACTGAGCTCCTGTTATAAGACGCGTTACTGTAAAGTTACATTTCCCATCTGTATTCTTTGTGATTATATATTCATGATTCCTTTAGACGTTGGTATACAAGTTTGAAAACACAAAGCCTGTACTGTATGAGTGATCTAAGTTAGTGATGGCAAACCTTTAGAGACTGAGTGCCCAAACTGCAACCCAAACCCACTTACCTGTTGCAGAGTGCCAGCATTGCAATTAAACCTGAATACTGAAGTTTTAGTTTAGAAAAAACAACTCATACATTAACATCTTTTGTCTTAAAAAGAAAAACACAACAGAGCTTGCAATCATACAAACAGCTTTTTACTGAAAGGTAAAAATTTGCATTTGGCGTGCTTTTGCACAGTTAATGCAATCTTTGCTGTTGTCTGCATGGTGATAATTTGTCAAACCTTGGCTCATACTTTGTTAGAGCAATACCTGCAGCACTCAGGTCATCTGTTAGTCTGTTTCGTGTATGAGATTTGATAGAATTCAAAGCTGAAAACAGCTGCTCACAAGCATACAGTGATCCAAACAAAGTAAGAAGAGAAATCCCAAGTGCTTTCATTGACTTGAAATTATTTGGCAGAGAATTACACACTGTAAGGGTTTCATTTTCAGAACTACCCATTGTGCTGTCCTTTGTCATCCCTTTACACTGTCTTTTCTCTGTCTTCTCAAATGTTTCACGGAGGTCATAAAGTTTATCTTTCTTTTTTTTTGGTGCTGGAGATCAAACTCGGGTCCTTGCACTTGCACAGCAGGCGGCGAAACCACTAAGGTAAATCCCCGGCCCCAAGTTTATCTTTATAGATTGAGTTTTCTGGAAAGTCCAATAGCTCCGTATCCAAATTTCCAAAATCAATCCAGTGTAAACAGGAAAGATCAAGTTCTTCAAATTTGGCTTTGTCTGGAAAAGAAAGCTGAGGATTATCTCCATCTTACAGAACTGTAAAAACTATTACTAAAATTCTCCTTTGCAGCACCCACAATGCTAGAAAATTCCTTGTAGATTTCCTGATGCCCTGTAGGATTGTCTGTAAATGTTGTAGAATTTTCTAAGTGCATTTTTAGATTTGGAAAGTATTTCAGCTTCCCACTTTCAAGGTCTCTTTCAAAAACCTGCAGTTTTCTCTCAAATGTTTTGACATCACAAAACATCCTTTCTGCTCTTCTCCCCAAACATTGTAGATTTTTGTTCAGTATTTTGAAGTGTAGTGTAAAATCTGTAAAAAACATGAGGTTGTTAAGCCAGGCCATATCAGTGAGCTGTGGATACTCTTGCCCTTTTTCATTCATAAACAGCTTAATTTTATCCAAGCAGGCTACAAATTTCTCCAGGACCTGTCCTCTGCTCAGCCACCAGACATTATTGTGTATAAGTAAAGCATTATACCGTACCTAAACCTCATCAATAAGTGTTTGAAATTGTTGAAAGTTAAGAACCTGAGCCATGATGTAATTCACCGTTTTTGTGACATCTTTGAGGATATCACCTAATTTTTTGCTGCTTGCCTTGGCACAAAGAGCTTCTTGATGTATACTACAATAATACTGATTGGGCCAGGGATTTAGTTCAGTGGTTTCGCCGCCTGCTATGCAAGCGCAAGGACCCGAGTTCAGTCCCCGGTACCAAAAAATAAAAAAATAAAAAAAATTAATACTGAATGACTAGATGTTTTGCTTCTTTAACAAAGAACCGTATGAAACCCAATGTTGCCCCCACCATACAAGGTAGCAAAAAAGCCCCCCTAACAGTGCTGTCAATGTCTGTCCCTTGTGTTCTTCCAGGCAAAGACACCAGTTTCAGCAGCTCCTCTCTCATGATGTCATCAACAGCATAACGCAAAATCACTGCTAGCCTTGCATGATTATTTCTATCTGTGCTTTCTCCTAAGCACATGGAGCAACAGGCTGCCTTCTGTAAGTCAGTGGTGAGCTGCTCACTAGCATCACTTGCCACACATAGGACTCAGTCTTTAACAGTATTTCTGCTAAGAGGCATCTCAGAGATGTGTTGCATAATTTTATCTTTGAGAAATCATGAAAAAGGGAATTAGTCCCAGACAACATGGTCATTTTGATAAAGTCCCCATTGAGAGGGGCTTACCATGTTTTGCCATGCACAGAGAAATTTGAAAGCTGGCAGCTGGCAGGTGACTGTTTTGGAAAGATAGTTGGAACGCTTTTATGCCTGGAGGCAAAGTGCCATCTGACACTTGATGTGGGACACACAAAACTTTCACTGTACAGAATACATAACTCTTTCCCATCGCGTTCAAACACTCCAGTTGACTGGCTGAGCCTGTTGGAATGATCTTCCACTGTTTTCAGGGTTTTTTTGTTTTGTTTTGTTTTTTCCTTTAGTCATTTTTTGGTGTTCAAGACTTGTCGTCCAGAAAAACTTAAAATTTTTAAGAAACAAAGCACCCAATAGAAATCTATCCCTATACCAAAAGTAACTAGCACTATTAGTTAACACCAAAGAATTGGATATTCCCTAAATCAACGGCCTACAGTGCTGGTTCTCAGCCAGGGTTCCTCTTGGATTTGCTGACCACCAGTGCGATTGGCCTGCTCTGCAAAAGGCGTCTGAGTGTGCTTCCTGCATTGTGAGTGCTGCTGCTAAACTGACAGCCGTCCAAGCAAATACATGTGTCCCTGCTCCTGCTTCCATACATTCCTCTCAGATGGCTGAATATGGTGCTGCAGGTCCAGACATGCCAGGGGTCAGCACATTAACAGAATCTTGGTCTCCTGATTAGAATATATCTTTGCTAAATCTTGGATAGTAGATTTCGATTTTTCATAAGAAAACTCAGGTGAAATCTTGTGTAAATAAAAATGAGTGTCTTAAAACTCATAGCCAGTCCAAGCAAATATACATGCAGTAATACCTCTGTTCACAAATGCTTCTGTTCACAGACAGGTTCACAAACAGAAGCGTTTGGCAAAATTTTGCTTCCATTCTCAAACTCCACATTGGGTGTGCTTCTAAATCCCTGCACAAAAACAAACATGGCCATTGTCCTCAGAATCAAGGAACAAATTAAGTTTGTGAACCGAGGTGCCTGTGTATCCTTGGCAGTGCAGTGACTGGCCACGCACAGGCTCAGTTCAGTCAGCTAAGGAGTCACAGCTCACAGATCAGATGTCATCACCACCACACCTACTCTTTTCCCAGCCTGCCCATGTCCCCTAGGGGCGCTGTTATCTGATGCCCCGCTGCTGGGGGAATGCAGGGGTGACTTGGCTTGCAGGCAGACAGAGAGGGCTCTGCACGGCACTGTGACACACGTGTTGTGGGTTCACCACCACTGATCTAAGTGATATTTGAGGGTAGCTTTGTTTATGTTTATTTTTAACTGTACTCTGCCTTCAACTGCTGACCATCATATTTTTTGTTTCTGCTTTAAAATTGAATTTATTGAGAGCAAATATGAACACATATTGAACACTTAATATCCTCTAAAGATCAGTCTATGAATCTATTACGAATATGGGTAAGTGTTGCAGATCACATAAATAGGACTTAGCTTTTATCTAATTTTTTAATTGGTGCATATCAGTAATACAGTGGACCCTTACTCGAAAGGGCTGGTTGTAACTCGAGTTGATTGTAAGTC